CGATTCATCAACAAACAACGTGAACAAACAGCACTCTCAGAGCGAGTAGGGACGTAGCAACAGTGACAATGCATCACAACTTAAAGGAAGTCATCAAGCGATACTCAATTGTCTGGAAGATCTGAAGTAACATGTGACCTAAAATGCCATAATGGATCCCTTTCTGCACACGACACAAGTGTTATTCATAACTTCCAGATCGGACATTTTGTGTTGAAAACCCCATTGAAACCAGAATAACACAATAATGTAAGCCTCCTTTTGAGATTTAGAAGCACTTTGAATGGTTACCTTAAATGGCATTAAGTGATGTTCATGCCAAACATTATTTGTTTATTTGCAGTTTAATGCTACACTCAGCAATATTCCAGTTATGTGTTTGAGATATGTAAATAATTGAGTCTTGGGCCAGACAATCCATTGATTGACATCTTGAGCATGAAGTATATGTCCACTGTGAAAGAATTCACAAGAAATTCTGTAATTCTCAACTGCGAGTTTATTAATTTATATATTACCAATAGTTTTTTTGTATGGAATGTGAGTTTGCCGAGTGAGTACATGAACATGAAGCAAAAATATCCTCCTCGGCAAGACAAGAAATAATTTCCCCTTTATCCTTTTTCCTATGGTTGATTTACTGTTCCAGTGCACAGACAAACTGAATCTTCAACAAACTCTCTTCAATCAGATGGATCAGCAGGCAAATTGCTATAGTTTGGACATCAAGTTCTATTTATAGTTGACTCTGGTGTAATGATGACTGAATTCCGTAATTCTCAGGAATATTCCGCTTCAGTAGGTCTGATAAGGTGTATTGGCAAAGGTCAACGGAATAATTGATCTGTATTAGGCGAGCAGTCTGTAGGACGCTAGTATATACAGTATGCATCCTAGTTTGGTGGTTTGTGAGGAGCATCGAGCTGATAGTGCTGGCATTTGTTGGATGACAGAGTTCTTGGCCATTGATTCCATATACAGTCTGCCATGTCTCTTTGTGCAGTAATGGGATGAGCAGTCTTGATATCGTCATGTTTCCCGAGCTTGGTTTTTTATCATTTTATAGAATTTAATGTACATTATTGTTTCCATGGTTTAATGTAGCAAATTTTGTCAGTGTTTTCGAGTTCATGCATTGAGAGAAGACATTAGTTGTCTGGAACCTCTAATCTAATAGCATGGTAAATGTTTCTGCTACAGCGTTTCACATCTGATATAATACGTATTTCCGTCCTGCTTGCTTGTGTGTTTAACATATCCTGTTTTATGTGCTTACTTCTACTCCATTATTTGACATATATTTTCTAAATGTAAGTCACCCCATGTCAGCTTCTAAGAGCGTGGAAGGCAGAGCAATCACATCCAGTTTTTCAACATTTATACTGAAAGCAAAACCTACAATACAAAGATGGACAAAATGTTCCACCACCTATCTCAACACTATTATCTATTAATGGAAATGGCATTTTTGAAGTAATTATCAACCACAATAATTAGGATAACAACATCCATCATTTTTAGTATGAAACCATGGCTTTAGAACGCCTCCATGTTGTATTTTGATTTGTCTCCCATTTATTGAAGCGAACCAAAGGGCTTGCAGTTTTGCCATACCTTCCCAGGGATGGGATCCTTTTTTGAAAAGGTTTTTGTCAAGATTAGTCCCCAAAGTCATGTCAAGGTCATAGTTCAGGATGTTGTAAGATGTGGTTATGTTCTCTATTTCTGGTGCATGGTTAACTCAAATCACTTATGAGGTGATTTTGAAAAGTGGTTCTGTAGTGGAAAGGTCGTTCCCCAAACTGGACGTAATGTTTTTGGACTAGTTGTACAGGTTGGTATGTTACTACTTTGGTGGCTTTGAGGAAATGTCAAAAGGACTGCTTCTGTTATTGGTTGAAGAATAGTTTGCCAGCACCTCAAGCTGACCATGTAGAATAGGTTCCCAACACCCCAAGCTGATCATGTGTAGAACAGGTCCCCAACATCCCAAGCTGATCATGTGTAGAATAGGTCCCCACCATCCCAAGCTGATCATGTGTAGAACAGGTCCCCAACATCCCAAGCTGATCATGTGTAGAACAGGTCCCCAACATCCCAAGCTGATCATGTGTAGAACAGGTCCCCAACATCCCAAGCTGATCATGTGTAGAACAGGTCCCCAACATCCCAAGCTGATCATGTGTAGAATAGGTCCCCAGCACCCCAAGCTGGTTATGTGTAGAATAGGTCCCCAGCACCCCAAGCTGATCATTTGTAGAACAGGTCCCCAACATCCCAAGCTGATCATGTGTAGAATAGGTCCCCAGCACCCCAAGCTGGTTATGTGTAGAATAGGTCCCCAGCACCCCAAGCTGATCATGTGTAGAACAGGTCCCCAACATCCCAAGCTGATCATGTGTAGAATAGGTCCCCAGCATCCCAAGCTGATCATGTGTAGAATAGGTCCCCAGCACCCCAAGCTGGTTATGTGTAGAATAGGTCCCCAACATCCCAAGCTGATCATGTGTAGAACAGGTCCCCAACATCCCAAGCTGATCATGTGTAGAATAGGTCCCCAGCATCCCAAGCTGATCATGTGTAGAATAGGTCCCCAGCACCCCAAGCTGATCATGTGTAGAATAGGTCCCCAACATCCCAAGCTGATCATTTGTAGAATAGGTCCCCAGCACCCCAAGCTGGTTATGTGTAGAATAGGTCCCCAGCACCCCAAGCTGATCATGTGTAGAACAGGTCCCCAACATCCCAAGCTGATCATGTGTAGAACAGGTCCCCAGCATCCCAAGCTGATCATGTGTAGAATAGGTCCCCAGCACCCCAAGCTGATCAGACCGCCTCCGTGGTCTTGTGGTAGAGCGTCCGCCCGGAGAGCGGAAGGTCCAGGGTTCGATACCGGGCCGCGTCATACAAAAAGACGTTAAAAGATTGTACTTGTTGTTACCCTGTCTGGCGCTCGGCATTAAGGGGCTAAAACAAGGACTGGTCGGCTCGGAGTCAGTATACTGTGTCTGAGTGGGGTATTCATGTTAAACTGCGGCATGGTATCTCACTGAGCTAGCACTATAAATCGGCATCAGTCCGGACTAGTACAAGCAGCCACACACACACATACACGTGCATGCACGTCGCTATATAAGTGCAATAATCTTGGACGCGACGTTAAACCCAATTTCACCTCACCTCACCTCACCAAGCTGATCATGTGTAGAACAGGTCCCCAACACCCCAAGCTGATCATGTGTAGAACAGGTCCCCAACACCCCAAGCTGATCATGTGTAGAACAGGTCCCCAACACCCCAAGCTGATCATGTGTAGAATAGGTCCCCAACACCCCAAGCTGATCATGTGTAGAACAGGTCCCCAACACCCCAAGCTGATCATGTGTAGAACAGGTCCCCAACACCCCAAGCTGATCATGTGTAGAACAGGTCCCCAACACCCCAAGCTGATCATGTGTAGAACAGGTCCCCAGCATCCCAAGCTGATCATGTGTAGAATAGGTCCCCAACACCCCAAGCTGATCATTTGTAGAATAGGTCCCCAACACCCCAAGCTGATCATGTGTAGAACAGGTCCCCAACACCCCAAGCTGATCATGTGTAGAATAGGTCCCCAACACCCCAAGCTGATCATGTGTAGAATAGGTCCCCAACACCCCAAGCTGATCATGTGTAGAATAGGTCCCCAGCTTTGTTTCCCTGTGCGAAATGTGGGCAAGCTATTGAACTCTTCCTGATTCTCAATGAGACCCTTGTGTATCTTACTAATACTTATAATTACCTTGACAACTGTACTATCATATACAGTGATCGTCTATAACGCTCATAAATTATTTGGACCCCCAAAGGTACCGTTGTAGCGAGTGTTTATACAGTGGTTTAACCGAAGTGGAGTCGTAGGGGGTAGATGACTAACAAAACAGTACATGCTCTGCCTACCTAACACGGTCTTCGCTGCATGAGTTTAGAAAAAGACACGAATAGTAGTTGTTTATGATTTATAGTGTGAAAAAAAATATTATCGAGTGTTAAAAAACCACATTGTATCCCTTCAGCGAATTCAGGTTAACACAACTCACGCTCACATTCAACCCAATCTGGTATTTTATCAGTTCAAATAAACACATGGAATCAATTTTGAAAATGACAGGAAAGTGTGACACAAACACAGCTTTGTTTCCCTGTAAAACAAATGGGCATGTATGTGAACTTCCTGAAGACGTCATTGGTAGGGATGGATTACTTGTTATGCTGTGTATTTGTTTTGTGGTCTATATACGCCATTATACGGAGTACTGATGATAATCAGGCATCATGTACCTCCAGTGTAAATTTACCTGGGAGATCACATCAGTGGCTGGCCTTACCAATTAGTGTTAATTAGCTGGATGATCAATCAACTCTTCTGCTGTGTCCACATCCTCTGTAATAGACTCTGGCCCCAATATACACAATGGCAATTTACCCACAATTGATATTACATTTTTTCGTTAGTTGCAACCTGTTGAGAAAAATGATCATCATTTGGTATTAGCCTATTCTTTAAGAAAAGATTTGTTCATGACATAACACTACTTATGGATGACAAATTTATTGATCCAATTGAACTTAGTGAGTGAGTGATTGAGTGAGTGAGTGAGTATGGTTTTACGCCGCTTTTAGCAATATTCCAGCAATACCACGGCGGGGGACACCAGAAATGGGCTTCACACATTGTACCCATGTCGGGAATCGAACCCAGGTCTTCGGCATCACGAGCGAACGCTTTAACCACTTGGCTACCCGACCGCCCCTTCAATTGAACTTAACAAACAAGTTAACTAAGGATGTCACACAACCGTGTGACATCATTAGATTAGCTGAATGAATCAGTATAAACCAGTGTACAAATACATGTTGATAAAAGTCTTGTGTATCAATTATTTGTTTATTACTGTTTTTCAGGGCATTAACAAAGGATGCATTAGCAAAAATCAAATTGGATGTGTTCTGTGTTACAGGTGGTGCAAGAATATGAGAGGGCCGTTATATTCCGACTGGGTCGTCTGGTGTCTGGAGGTGCAAAGGGACCAGGTAGGCCGCTCCATTTGTGTGTTAGGAATTTGAACCGGTCACCCTAGAACCAACCATTTGACCACCCCAGAACCAGCCATTTGATCACCTTGATACCGATTATTTGAGCACCCTAGAACCAATCATTTGATCACTCTAGAACCAACCATTTGATCACTATAGAACCAACAGTTTGATCACCTTGATACCAATTATTTGATCACTCTAGAACCAACCATTTGAAACACTCTAGAACCAACAATTTGATTACCTTGATACTGATTATTTGATCACCCTAGAACCAATCATTTGATCACTCTAGAACCAACCATTTGATCTACTTGATACCAATTATTTGATTTCATCAAAAACAAATCATGACATCACCCTAAAACCTGATCACTCTAGAACCAACAATTTGATCACCTTGATACTGATTTTTTGATTACCCTAGCACCAATCATTTGATCACTCTAGAACCAACCATTTGAACTACATGTACTTGATACCAATTATTTGATTTCATCAAAACCAATCATGACATCACCCTAAAACCTGATTCCAATAACCATACAAGAACCTTCCATTTGATCACCTTGAAAGCAATCATTTTATTGCCTTGAAATCAATTAACTGCTTACCTTAAAACCAACTATGTGATCACCCCAAAACCAACCATTCGATCATTTGGGGACCAACCGGTTGATCCCATGAAAACCCACCACATGCTCATCCTGAAACCAATCAGTTGATCAGCCACCTCCTGGAAACCATTTGATCACTGAAAAACAATTTTATACCCAAACCTTTTAATGACTAATTTTTGGAATAAAATGAACTTTCATTCAGTTAACTTGATTCAGAGATTTGTACCCAGTATAATTGTGATTTGTTTTGAAAACATTGAGATGCTTTGAGTTTTGACGTTCCTCTTGAATTTTTAAATTACCTTCAAGTAGATCCAAAAGTGTTGAGTTTTCTGCCTCATCTTGAATGATGACATCTTCTGTTGGGCAGGTTTGTTCTTCATCATCCCATGCATGGACTCCTACACCAAGGTTGATCTGAGAACAGTGTCCTTCGATGTGCCGCCCCAGGAGGTGAGTGTGATGATATTGTTGGTGTGAAACTGGCATTTTCATGGACTAGAATTATCATTGACTGATTTATCATCCACTAGTATTATAAAAGCTGGTATTTTGGGCTTAAAAAAATAGAATAATTGGTTCTCAGGTAATGGAGGTAATGGATTTCGAAGATATAGTGCGGGCATCGAGATGACGTCACACTAGAAACAACGTCATAGCTGAAGATTCGACAAATTGTGGTTCTGCTGCTGTTGCGACTTGCTGTCCTTATCTTCTTCTGTAATAAATAGAACATTATATTTGTGTTCATGCAGGGATAGAAATTGGCACTAGTCCAGTAGTCCTTGCCAAACTGCCCACTAGTTAAGGTATCATAAGGACTAGTAGAAATTTGCCATTTTTAAGGGATTTGCTATATGTTATCATTATAAAGACTAGGGAATTGAAACTGTTAGTTTCTACCGCTGTCATGTCATACTATGTTAACAACACTCGTGCCTAAATTCGGGTATTTAGACACTCGTGTCGTAGATATAGTATGACATGAACACTCATATTATATCCTCTATTTATCATCAACTGGTATTATCATTGACCAGCATGATGAAAGCTGGTGCTGTGAGCCACTGGTGTCAGCGTGTCTTTGCTCCTCTGCAACGTGTACTGGTCCCTTGATGTAACCGTCCAATGAAATGTGATAAAGGTTACAACAGACCAAATTCATCCTGAACCATGGAATAAGTTGTCTCCCAGAGGACCTTCTTCAGTGTGCAATATCTGAAACATTTTTCAAAGCGTCATCCCTGCCTTGTGGGTATGGCATTTGTATGAATAATTGACTCTGGACATGATGAAATGGGTTCGAAGTCATAATGCACTCATTCATTGATAGTCAAGGGTCATTGATATGACGATAAAGATACTTATGCAAGAATGGTCTGGTTAAATCAACATATTGTACAATCTCACGTACAGTGTAGTTATGTTTTCACTTTGCAGACCTGCAATACTTTTGATATTGACTAATCGCTCTCGATTCCCTCCTAGGTGTTGACGCGCGACTCTGTGACGGTAGCAGTGGATGCTGTGGTCTACTACCGTGTCCAGAACGCCACCATGTCCATCACCAACGTGGAGGACTCAAACCGCTCCACCAGACTGTTGGCGGCTACCACGCTTAGGAACGTCTTGGGAACCAAGAATCTGAGCGAGATTTTGTCAGAGAGAGAATCAATCAGTCACCTCATGCAGGTATGTGTATATAACAACTGTTTCTATGGCAATCAAAATGATATGCCAGAAACACTGTCAGTAAGTTTTGGTGTTATTTTCAAGTTCAAACTTGACTGAAATAAGTTTTACAAGTTACTGAGCAGTGTGGAAACTTGAAAGTTAGAAAACGTGTCATTGCAATCCAAAATAAACTACCCTGTATGTCTTTGTTGTTGAAAGAAATTAAAAATAGGATATCTTGGTGATATTTGAACTTGTTCATTTCATATGGTACCTATTGTATTATATGTCATATTGTATGGACTGTTATGGAGTAAATGAACTGTATCAGTGTGATGTGCATGACACCAGTTCCTGTCAATTGTTTGATAACTTACTGTTGTTCAACATTTCCATACACACCTCTATAGATTCAACACATGACTTCCCCTAGTCTTCCAGACCCTAGAGAATAAATTCAAGAATGAATCCAATTCAAGTGTGGAAAGATTTGGCAAGTCTAGATTGCCTCAGCTCTCTCCCAGACGCTAGAGATTAAACTAAAACATTAATATCTTATTCAAGTGTGGAAAGATTTGGCAAGTTTTTGGCTAGTTTGCCTTAGCTCTCTCCCAGACACAAAAGATTAAATTCAAAAATGAATATCCAATTCAAGTCTAGATAATCTAGTGTGATGTGCATGACACCAGTTCCTGTCAATTGTTTGATAACTTACTGTTGTTCAACATTTCCATACACACCTCTATAGATTCAACACATGACTTCCCCTAGTCTTCCAGACCCTAGAGAATAAATTCAAGAATGAATCCAATTCAAGTGTGGAAAGATTTGGCAAGTCTAGATTGCCTCAGCTCTCTCCCAGACGCTAGAGATTAAACTAAAACATTAATATCTTATTCAAGTGTGGAAAGATTTGGCAAGTTTTTGGCTAGTTTGCCTTAGCTCTCTCCCAGACATAAAAAGATTAAATTCAAAAATGAATATTCAATTCAAGTCTAGAATTATATGGCAAGTCTAGATTGCCTCCGCTCTTTCCCTGACCTTAAAGAATATATTAAAAAATGAATCCAAATCAAGTCTAGAATGATTGGGCAAGTCTATAATGACTCTGCTCTAGGCCAGAAATTAAGCATTGTTCCGGGCTCCATTTTGATTTTACCTTTCATTATTGTAGATATATATTTTATTTCTTTATTTCTGGGACTAGATGTTAGCCTAGACTTACCCTCGTATTCCTTTGTGACTGGAGAGTAGTTGAAATTGCTTGTTTAACTAAACATTAGATTTAGTCTGATATTTCATACCCTTTAGTATTGTAGTTTTATTGATTTTATTAAGTAACCAGATTTGTTTTGGAAAGGCCACCTATGTGTACAGTTTTACGTGCTAACTATGACAAAGTCAAAAGTAAAGTTAGATATCATTGGGAGTATCTAAAAAATCATGTCCACAAATGAAATATTTCTTTTGCAAGTACATCTGGTTTTGGCCCTCTTGAATATGAACACTGTGTATTTATTGATGAGATATGATGTTTATTTCATTAAATGTAAAGCAGGGTTTAAAATTAAGAGCCATCGGTATTTATAATCCTTTCAGAATGAGTCCTCTGAGCATATATATATATATATATATATATATATATATATATATATATATATATACTACTCAAAACAAGTTAAAGAACACTATTTTGTATATGACTATGGTTAATATTTCATGGCTAGCAGTTTTGCCTTAATCTTGAGCCCTGCTGAGGTTTGGATGCTGCTGCGAATGTTTTAAGCATTATACCAAGAGTGCCCACTCTTGCAGAGTTGTCTAGATGAGTGTACATACCCATGGGGTATCCGTGTGGAGAGAGTGGAGATGTAAGTAGGGGAACTGCATGGTATTCACTGCTTGTCGTCATCCAGCTCCACCCCCAAGATGCACTGTTTTCTCCTCCTGTAGATCTAGCTCTATCATTAGTCTATCACGTGGTGGAAATGTTGATATGCCATTTTGTTATGTTTGTTTTGTAACCAGGAAATACTCATCTCAATCTTGACACAGTATGTGGTAATTCTTCAATTTATTTGTATATCCTGGAAGCAAGGATGCAACAAAACTTATCATTGATTCTGATAAATTTCTGTCACTTAACCCTAAGAAGTTACCAAATAAATCTGTTCACAATGTATGCTTATTACAGAAAAGATCATGGTCCAGTACAGTAAAATACTGTTAAAACGAACTCAAAGGGACCACTATTTTTAGTTTGTTATGACCGTAGTTTATTACGAGCATATATACAGCATGTATAATGGTCAAGACCAAACGATACGGTCGTTATACTTGTCAGTTCTTTATAAGCGTAGTTATAAACATAGTTTACTGTAAATCAGTCAGTGCTTTGGTAAAATTTACAACACACTGTTTGTAATAAAAGCAAACAATTATCCATTACTTTGTAACTGTAGGAGATACAAATTGTGAATTACAATACATCTTATTTTTGTAATTGGGGGAGGCAGCCATTGTTACTGAGTGTGTCAGATGAGTAGTTCCTGTGTGTGTAACTGTTGGTGTTAGCTGTGACAGCATGTTGTATGCTTTCATCAAGTTTTAACATCTTATCGTCCCCTAGAGTTCCCTAGATGAAGCCACAGACCCATGGGGTGTGAAGGTGGAGCGAGTAGAAGTGTAAGTAACATTGTCGACCACGACAAGGTGCAGACACCTCGCGCAGCGCAGCGCACCCAATCTTGTTTCCAAACACACGCTAACACAAGTGTCTAACTCTGTACCACGTACCTCTTTCTGAGGTGTATTAACTTGACCTCATGATCTCGTGTGATGATACTTCATCACCATGGGGTCCTCGGGTGGCAAGTGTAAATGTAGGGTTCTTCTCAACTACAATACATGACCATTTGACTAATCTACTAAAGAAGCCTGTCATACATGCTACTCAACGTTTGAGAGGGATACTGGGCTATTTCATGTTGTTACGTAACTAGGGGACAGTAGCTATGAACTTGAATTGTGTGCTCACTTTTTTAACTTTTTATGAAGCTGTACATTCTCCAGTTGCCTGGCAACGTGGGATACTATTTGTATGACACCATCTTCAAGCAGCCTATCACACAGTCAGGTCCCACACTCAGAATATCCCTATTAACTTTTTAAGCTGTCTTAAAGGGAGGCTAAATTCTGCAGTTTGTGTAGGTCTGGATTTTTAATTATTTGATGGTGAACCTGAAGCTATGTGCCATCAGGGTAATCATTTACTGCTGAAGCTTTGAGTGACCAATCAGAAAAAGCAGTCTGTTCCAAAATGTATTGAGTCTACAACATGGCTCTTAACTTCATTATCATTATATTTTAGCGTTGCCATAAGGCCTGTTATAAGCTGAGCTCTCTAGACCGAACAGAATGTTACTAGACTCGGGCTTCGGAATAGTAGTTAAAGTCGCAGACTGTAGAACTGACACATTTTCACTTTCATATATGGTATTATGATATCTGACTTACTGGACCGAACTGACTGTTACTTGACTCAGGCTTTGGACTTGTTGCTAAAGGACAGACTATGAAGTGGTGTTTGAACAACATGAATCCAACAAGTTGAGACTGACAATTTGCCCTAGCCTTGTCCTTCAGAACCAGCTTCTGGCTGTCAAACACATCCTGATGCTTGATGTTTGTTGTAGTTTGTGGAAAACAGGAGTTGTCATCATAACTGAGAATCACGGTTGGATTAAGACGGTTTTAACGGTATTGCCATCTGTGGCTTTTATACTGTGTGGATTGAAAGGCAAAGTATTCCTGGAAACAAGATTTTGTGTGTTTTTTCCAGAGCAGATCTCTTTGATTTGTTTTTGTTTTGCAGTTGTAATTTTTTACCCACTGCTGACATTGTTGAGTGATGTAGACTAGCAGTCATCATGCTGTCATTTCATCAACGCAGCCATTCTCTCATACTGTATAGAATCTTTCACCAGACTAAAGTAATGTTAGCAGTGCTCTCATTATCAGACAAATTTGTTGATGAAGATGATTTAAGCTTTGTAAAACTCTATGAAGTTATAGTCTTTCAAACTTACATTAGGCTTAAGTTACATTTTGTTATTTAAAAACAATAATATTTAAACGTTTTAAGATATTTTAAATATTTTTTACATGCAAGTGTTATGTTTCTCTTCGGTGTTGTCAATTAAGGCTATGGTTATGAATATCAACTCTGAAATAATGAAGATACATGTCTTTAAATGAAGGAAAATGTGAAATGTATGTAATCATATTTTGAAATAATCTGTGTTGAATGTTAAGACTTTATCAGTTCATTTGTTGTATGAAAATGTAGTTACAGTGTCCTGATGATGAAATAATCTGTATGTTTGATTCACCGTGGTTCTCGCCTTTCCAGTAAGGATGTCAGACTGCCAGTCCAGCTCCAGAGAGCCATGGCAGCAGAGGCCGAAGCTGCACGTGAGGCTCGGGCCAAGGTAGATAACTCTTTTATCTCCTTTCTTCTCAACTCTCAACTGTTGTAGCCCTAAAGAATATCAACACTGGCATTTAATTCCCCCTACGGATACTAGTAGTGGGGCGATACACCAATGCATCGGTGGATCGTGAATTTTTACATCTCAATACCAATTGGTCACAGTCACACAATAAGTATAGAGTATCAATTTTTACCTTAGATGTATTCTTTATTGACACTCCCACCAAACACCAATTACAAGTGATAATGCGCAGTGAAAACGTAAATATTTTTATCCATTGCGCGAGGTATTTGGCCATACTGTCTAAGAAATAGATGGCTTCCACACCACAGATGCAAGATCCAGAGCACATGCAAGTATCGTGATACGTATTGGATCTTGAGCAAGGTATTGGGATACATATCGGATCGCACAGTTGGTGTATCATCCCAGCCTTAATGGATACTTGTGTATCAGTGTGTGAACATGTTATTATCTCAAGTCTAAACTTGTTAAATGAAGATAAGTTATATTAAGTTAAATCAAGACATTGTTCTGACCAAAAGATATTCAGTAATCAGTAAACTAAAGTGACACATTAGTGTATTTTACAGTCATGACCTATTACCATTTGACCTTGATGGTATGAAATCAAACAACCTTGAACTGACAATTTGACCTTTACCTTATGATCAAACTAAATCTTCCGTCTTTCAGGTCATTGCCGCTGAAGGAGAACAGAAAGCTTCCCGAGCTCTGAAGGAAGCTGCTGATGTCATCACTGAATCTCCTGCTGCTCTGCAGTTGCGTTATCTGCAGACGCTGAACACCATCTCGGCTGAGAAGAATTCCACCATCATTTTCCCCCTGCCCATTGACCTTCTGCAGTCGTTCCTTCCAAAAGGAAATCAGAAAACCTCAATGTAGGCCAAGGTCATTGGAAATAACGTGACCGCAACAAACTTGCCTTATTCTGGTTGGTCAGTGAAATAGTACATAATTTCATTTGAGATGAAGAGGGAACAACTGTGTTCAGACAATTTGTCTATATGCATAGGTTGCATGCTGTTAATCTAATAGTATCTAAAACATGGAAAGGTTTGGACCGTTTTCTTTTGAATATAACCCATGATTTCTGTTGATGGTTGTTTGACATGATCATATTAACAGCATTCAACTTCAGGAGTCAATATGGGTAGATTTTGTGGCATTTTATTGCGTATATATTTATGTTCTCCAGGTAAAAAAAAATTGTGATGCTATTGTGCCAAAACTAAGACATAAGCATCTCTTATTTGCTCCATGAAAACAATACATGCTGTAACACTTGAAAAATGACTAGTTGCTTCATGTTACGTTTGAGGTTTTAATGCATTCCAGAAAGACCGGCTCTAAGAGAACGGCAAAATTGATCCCACAAATAAAATTGAGAAAAAAAGAGGAAAACAATTGAGAAAATAAATTTGAAAATGAAATTGTGTAGACAAATTTGACTGACTAATACACAGTCCTACTTGTTTGTAAGAGATAGGTAATAAAAATGAACACCTGCATATTTCAAACATTGGAGGAGGTTCAAGCGAGACCACCCTTCTCAGCTCTTTTATAACAATATTGTAAATAATTGTACAAGTTTGTTGTTAATTAAGCTTGTAAATTTTCTGTCATTGTTTTTTGATTGTCAGTTTTATATTGAATGTACAGAATGTGAAACTTTCTTCGAGATTACGTTTCTTTCAGCGTGAACTGTAGAGGTGGGTAGTTTCCACTTTCAAATATTAACAAGGAATGTTCGATAGGAATGTAGTCAATAAAATAACTTACATCTTGGCTGCTGAAGGACGTGCTTCAAGAATCAAGCATAATAATAATAATCCAGTCACATTAATTATTATCAAGCTAATGTAGACTGCATCGGCCCCATTGGTTTCCTAACAAGCTCGTACCTTGCACTGTCGTGATCTATTAGCCATACCTAATGTAGATGTAGCCTCCTAATGGTTTCAGTCATACCTGTATACAGTCTACAATAACTGTTCTATGTTAGCCAGTGTATGTATTACCCAGCAAATGTAATCCAAGATGTGTTGACCCTGTATGCGAAACTTTCAAATCCTAAACTGTTATGCTTGAACCAATGTAAGTGTTGATTGATACAGTCACTGTTTGTTGAAGAACTAGGGTTGTTATCTTTTGTTGAGGTGATAGTGAGGACAACATTTCTCATCCTGCAGTTTCTCGCTGCTTCAGAGTCACAGCAATGTCTACACACAAAGGAAAACTCTCGCCTCTGTCTCTCTGTCTCTAGGGGGCAGGTGGCCCAATCGTCTGAAGCACAACTCGGCGGGTTCATTCTTTAAGTGTGCCAGACGCCTGTGATCATGCTTCCAAATCCAAGAGTCACTCTGATTTCTAGGTTTGTCAGCACCATACCCATGCTTGTGGGTTTCACCAAAGTGTGAACAACAGCATCACAACGGACGTTCCTCCTCCATCAAACTGACAGGCCGTGATATGACTGAAATAAAGTTCAAAGCGGCATTAACCTCACTCACTTTGTGTGTCAAAATGATGTCATATCCATAGAACAGTTGTTGCTATCTTTATATTTCTGAACAAGAAGTTAGAAAAGCAATGGAAATATCTTTGCCTGGTTTTAATTTAGACTGTAAATTACAAAGTGAAGATTTGTTGCTTTAATCACTCTTCAGAGACTGAACTTCCTCTGGTAAACGATGGAGAATTACTCCACTTTAGTAAGAGGATTGGGACCATTGCTGCGCTGGCATTGTTGCTGTTCTGAATGGTTGTAGCAAGACTTCTTGAGGGACCAACACAAGCAATAGATATGGATTTAATTAGAAGGGTATGTTCAATGAGCTGATATCAAAGAAACAATAGCAGCTAATGTATTGATTCTGACTGTGCTGTATTTGTGTCATGATTAATAAAGTCATTGTGTGTCGAGATTTATATTCTATCTTATCCCAGGCAGTGGTGGTCTGGCAGATCAGGTCTTGCCTTGTCACGCAACTGGTCTGTGTTCGATTCCCTGCATTTGTACCCTGTGAAGACCATGTGGAGTTTGCTGTTGTGATGGCTGCCAAAGCCTCAAGTCCCTCGTGCATGCAACATCTATCTTTTGTTGGAGGAAGCCCAGTTTTACAATATTGTGATTGTATTCTGTACAACCAGTTCTAGCACCATTACTTTACATAATGTGTTGTGCATAATTTAACCAACTTGTGATGCACTGTTCAGTTGGCCACCTTTTAATCTTACAATATACTTCTTTGTTTTCTGTATCTATCCACTTGTTTCTTTTGTATTTATTGTTTGATTGTCATGGTTCCCTCTCCAATAAATTAATAACATTGCTCAAAATATTTTTGCATTGTAACTTGCACTCATCTACACCAGTTTAACAATTTTTGAAAAAAGGATATTTTGCGTACCAGACTTTTTCAGAAATTCCAACAACTTAACACTTTCTGTTTGGTTAGAGTCTTTGTTTTGTGTACTTCCAATTAAGAACATATTTATTCCTTTTCTTTGATGAAATCATCAGCAAAGAAGCATACAAATTTTATAATTTGAAAGAAATTGGAAATCAACTTTTATTGAGGTAATCTTAAACTACTCTATTGATTATTTTTCCGTTTCGGATGTTGATTTTAGTCTGTATTGCATTTATCTGTGATGTTTTCAGATTGCTTCAAACTTCATTCGCTGATATGCAAAAATGAAATCACTCTATAAAAGCAATAATATTTAAGTGAGAAACCGCCTACAATTCGAGCTATGGGGTGTACTTTTTTCGTACTATTTTATAACATTTTTGTACAAAAAAGTCTATGGGAAATGCACAAGTGGATCCCCTGAAAACTATTATTGTAACACTTACTTCCAACAATGGTTCACCAAAGTGAATCTCTTCAACTTCATTTGGAACTACCAGTTTTACAGTGTTTCCTGGCCATTTTATACTGAATTAGTGGTAGTGTGTTAAAAACCTGCCCACCATGAAATGTTTCGTCTCCACTGTGTGCAACCCCTCCCTTCTGTTGTTCATGGTTCTTGGTGGTTTGCGAGGTCACTGTGTTCAGACTTTTCTACATTTTAAATGATGATCAAATTCTATGCTCAAGGATTATTTGTTAACCATCCATCATAATATGTATTCTATCGTTCAGTTTGATATTTGAATAAAATTTAAAGGAAAACCATTCAAGTGTCCTTGTCTGTTAACTGGTTGATGCATCTGTTGCCATGTGAGGATGAAGTCCCAAATCTTGGGTGTCAGAGAATTCAAGTGAGCTACAGTGCTCCATCCACATAATCAACATATGGCCTGGCACATGCATGGATGGAGTGTTTTTAAATTGCAGTGAATTGGCTACTGGTTTAACATTGATGTTAACAACAGCAGTCACAGCCTGTAATACATCTTCCCGAGACAAGCGTGTCCACTAGCCTATATCAAAGCCTAGCATCTTCCCGAGGCAAGCGTGTCCACTAGCCTATATCAAAGCCTAGTTTCTACCCTTGCCACATCAAGGCCACTTTTCTTGGCTCCACCCTGGCGCCACCTCACGTAGATCACGAGTTGTAATCCATTATTTCATCAACAAAGGTCGTCGTTGGGAGAATTAAAAGATGAAAAAGACAACAAAGACAGGCAGCAGAAATCACTTTCATATGAAGGTGTACCAGTTGTGGATGTTCATTTTGTGAAATGTTCTGTGATTGGACGGCGATACTACAATCATATTTAGCACAGGAAAGTGGGCTTGATGTGTCAAGGGTGGAAACAAGACTTTGATAAAAAGGCTAGTGGACGCTCTAGCCTCAGGAAGATGGTAACAGTAATAACTAAAATAATAATAATAAGTCAAATTTCATTTACTAACAAATGCTCATGGTGCTATATTATTATTATCACTCCAATCATTGGGTCAGTGTGAACTCATATTTCATTCTCAGCCCCTGGGGGAGGATACAAACCGAGCTGCCTGTTAGGTGTGATCTCATCCTGCTGGGGCCCCATTCACAAAAATGTTACATGTATTTGGATCAGCATTTTATGTCCATTGTTATGTATGGCAACACAATGGGATTCACATTTGTTCAAGACTGTAAAATTATTAACTTTCCTTTTATTACCCCCCCCCCCCGACATATAATGATCGGGGATATAGCCACCAGTATGTCCGTCTATAATCATTGTTTGTCCGGAGCATATTTCCTAAACCGTACAACCTAGCTTCACAAAACGTGGTACACTTACCAATCAGGCTCAGTAGTAGTGCCTTTTGCTATTTAGAGATTTTTAGAATTATTTATTTTTGTCGTTTCCATGGAAATATGATGGAACTTAGGAAATTTGAGGGTAGCACTCTTGTCCGGACCATATCTCCCGAACCATACAACTTAGCTTCTCAAAGGTTTTTACACCTATCAAGCAGGTTATGTAGTGGTGCCTTTGCTATTAACAGATTTTTTCTTTTTTTTCCCATTCAAATTGAAAATTGATGAACTTAGGGTAATGTCCTCGTCTGGAGCATATCTTCTAAACCATGCGACAGAGATTCACCAAACTTTATGCACATATCCATCATCTTCACTAGTAGTGCAGTTTGTTATTGATAGATTTTAATCTTTTTAATTTGTAGCCCCTGACATATAATTCTAAGGTGTACTATTTACCGATATCATATACTATATATGATGTGAGCTACATAACCTAGTACATTCTCTTTATGCCTTTGTGTCATGAGGCTACTACAGAGCTATTCATATGCGAATCTGCGAAGTTATTGTTATTTCATGAGACCATCAGAAAGTGAGCTACATGAACCAATATTTAATAACCTTCATTATATTTCTGGTTTTGGCATCAAGGAAAAAGATTTCCTTGCCAATCTAAATACATTTGAAGGTACACACAGTTTACCAACATGCCACGTGGGGGGGATATGTCATCTTCAGATGACTCTTGTATGAAAAACACTGTCAGTAATGTCTTCACAGAAATCACAAGGCCTAAATATCTGGAACTTTATAAAAACGTGTAGGACCATTATGTGATATGGGTTTATTGTATTTGGCATGGAATTTACAAATATAGTTATTGGATTGAATTTAAAAACTCTTCTTCAGTTCTTGAAAACGTTCAAGCACTTTCTTTGAGGAATGCACTCAACAGTATTCCAGCTGTGTGACAACGGTCTGTAAATAATCGAGTCTGACCAGACAATTCAGTGATTGACATCATTAACATCAATCTACGCTGTTGGGATACGATGACATGCATCCACCAAGCCAACCTACATTACCCCGGATCTTCAGGGGCCCTTCTAAGAAACAAAGGGTGATAGAGCTGATATTTTGTCAGGATATGCAGAACTACAATGGGGGTTCAGATTTAATCATTTCATTTTGAATATGAAGTAAGCCATTTTCTCTTTGCGTTAAGCATTTTGTTTGGGTTTTTTTGCTGCTGAATGCCGCACACATGAGCATTGATCTTTGCTTGTCGGAAGAGGCGACTAACGAGATCAGGTGGTCAGGCTAGCTGACTTGGTTGAAGCATGTCACCGATACCAATTGCAGGGATCGTTGCTCATGATGTTAATCACTGGATTGTCCGGTCCAGACTCGATTATTTACAGACAGCTGTCATATAGCTGTAATATTGCTAAGTGAGGTGTAAAACAACCATCCAACCAACGTTTTCTTACTTAGTCACCAACTTCTAGAATGCCAATCAAACAGCTAGCATTGGACCAGCTGATAATATTTTGTATGTTTGTTGTTTAACGTCGCACTCAGAAATATTCACACTATATAATGGCGGTCTGTTAATAATCGAATCTGGACCGGAAAAAACAGTGATTGACATCATGAGCATCGATCCACGCAATTGGGACACGATGGCATGCATCAACCAAGTCAGCGAGCCTGACCGCCCGATCCCGTTAGTCTACAAGCATAGTCGTCATTTACGGCAAGCATTGGTTGCTGAAGAGTTATTCTACCCCGGATCTTCACGGTCAGCTGATAATATCAAATACGGTGTCTGACATTGATTGTCCCACGTGGTTAGATAATTATTTGTTTGCACTGATTTTCTTATTTGTAAACCATAAAACATCTGTTGAGTTCCACTGAAAAAAGAATACGAGTTTACTTTCACCAAATGGTGACCTATTGTTCTCAATAGGTTACAACGATAGAAATAAGTATTATTGTGTATTTTGTGGCCAGAGTCTACACAAGACTTGGACACTTGAGAAGAGTTGATTGATCATCCAGCTAATTAACACTAATTGGTAAGGCCAGCCACTGATGTGATCTCACAGGTAAATTTACACTGGAGGTAGATGCCACCTGATGTTGGTCAGTACTCCGTATATAGACCACAAAACAAATACACAGTATAACAAGTAATCAATCCCTACCAATGACGTCATCAGGAAGTTCAATAACTTGCCCACCTTTCTCACAGGGAAATGGATATGTCTTTGTCAGGCTGTGTGTTATCTTTTGATGTGATATTGCTGGAATATTGCTAAAAGCAGCGAAAAAAACATACTCACCCACTCTGTGAATAAACTGGCTGTCTGCTTCTACGCATCACATGACCTTCACCTTATGACAATCTGCAGGAAGGTACAGGGTTCTCACGACAACGTTTCATAAAGTATCGGTGGTACATGAGACATTTATGTGGCCACCGTTATGAAATATTTCCCAAAGATACATATAGATACTAAACGAGCTCCCGTGTAATACCATTTTTATGAAATGAGTGAATAGTTCTGGTATTTGACGAGCGTTTATAAATAATAAATAATAAGTGTTTATTACTTTCCATTTATAACTTTTTCAGAATTTCACTGTCGTGTATGAATAGGCTGACACATACACGATCCACAACGTAATCCAATTAAGTTTAAACGACGTCAAACGTTGACACATATTAATCTTATATCATACAACGGCCCAGTTTTAGAATTCAGGCGTCCCTTTCACAAAGTTATCGTAGCACTACGGTTATCGCAACTCACATACTTTAACATAAACTTCCGCCTGTCGTTGCGCTACAATAAGATCGCCTTGTGGAACGGGACCTGGGTGCCGTGTACAAAACAACCATAGCACTACGACTGTCGTAAGTCTATGTTAAGGTATGGCAGTTACGATCACCTTGGCGCTAACATCGCTTTGTGGAACGGGGCCACAATCACGTCACAAAACTCAATGACGTTATTTGTGGAATTGTTTTGCAAGATCCACCTGCGAAACAATACCATGTGACGTCATCCTAGCAACGGGGTTGCAGGGGTCATTGAGTGTGCATAAGCTCCTCTCAGTGTTCTATCATCTCCTCACGTTGAATAAGCCAAGTGATGTTGAGAGCTTTGAATGTTTGTTAGTGTAACCTGTTCCCGCAGTACACAAGCACGCGCTTTGGTATTACACAATGTGTAATACAGCTCTATGTTTATTAAACAGGTGATCTCTTCACGGGCAAGTAATAAATAGAAATATCAAACGTCAATGTTAGAGATTAAGCAGTCTCGATTTTTCAACGAAACAGACTCCAATGAGCAAATAACGGTGATGAATTATCTGAATGGATCACTGAAAATCAGTGATGAAACCAGGTGTTCGTGAAAAGGGTAATAACTTCCTACCCTACCGTTTGCACCCGCCACACACACACACACACACACACACACACACACACACACACACACACACACACACACACACACACACACACACACACACACAATTAGCATATTAGGTATCTGTTTGTTGTACGTGTTTGAAGTCCAGAGCATATGAAACTATTGAAGGTGCTTAACGTTGTCCAAGCGTGTATAACATTCTACATGTTTAGTTCTGCAGACTGACGCGGTGGCAAATCAATACATTGAATCTAATTTCAACACAAGATCATGTCTTGACCCTTGCTGTCACGTGAACGGCGACAATGACCGACACGGACAACGACTGATGGTATATTCACCCTGAAGACGTACCGATTTAGCTCAACATATTGATCTATATCTATCACACCAGCTATCTCTAAGTGGTCGTCATATTTAGTTTGCTGAAAGGCCCTTGTTAATTATCAAGAACCTATAAGGATGTCCTCACACATTAGCTGTATTTGTAACGTGAGCTGTGAAAACCCCAAGTGCAGTTCGAGCATACA